GAAGAATGTATAAAAGTATCTTGTAATAGTTTTCAATCTTCTTTTATTCTTCGCTGGGAAAACTTGATAAAGGCAAAATTGAATTCTTAAATAAAATATATGCTGTTCCAAAGTAATAAGTTTTCTTTATCTTTGAAGTTTGATAGTATTATTCCAATATTTAATGTGAATTCACTGAAAATAATTAATTTTTTTTAATATTTTGAAAAATTTTGTTAAAATAACACGTTTCACTTTTATGATTCAAATATTTTTTACGTATTTTATATGATTGTGTGAGATAAACGAATATATTTGGTTCTTCTCTTAATGAAGCTCAGGAGAAAAAATTACTTCGATCCGGCTTAGGTGATTGAGATGACCAAGACCGGAAGACTCCAAGGTTCCAGCCATTTTTCTTATCAAATTACCCTTAAACCCTTCGTTTATCCCGAGAAATTATTCTTTTCTCGATGAGTTTACTTGTTGCCTATATATATATACTCTAACGAAAGGAACCGATTTATCGCAGGCAAGAGTTCTATTTAAAACGGAGGAGATACATAATAGCAATTAAGGGGAAATGAATTCTTAAGGAAAGAAAAGTCTCGTAATGTCGTTCGATCTTCCACTGTAAACTTTTTTCAAATTTAAGTAAAAAGATAAACTTATTGGATCTAAAATCTATTTGCGTTTCCTCAATTAGTTATTACATTATACGTGATATACAAAATTATAAATTAAAATATTTCTCTTCTTTTCTTAAATTCATAGTAATTTTTATCAATATCTCTTCTCTTTTTTTCTTATAACTTCAGAATAATCGTTTGCAAAGGAAATTAATTATACAGATTTTTATTTTCTTTATCGATTCATCGGTTAACATTCTTCTTATATGCAAATTATTCACAAAATCGATCCACATCTATCTATTGCAATCTCATTCAAATTCTTCCTCGTCGATCGCATCGATCCTCCCGAAAACGAATCAACAATACTATCCATTTCGAAAAATCTCGATTCCCTGATAAACAACAAGGGGGGGGGGGGATTTCGATCTTCGAAATCGGTTGGTGTCGATTTCACGGTCGGCACGTGTGGTTGAACCCGGCCGAAATTGGGCGAGGCGGAACTTCCGGAATTTTCGATGAACTGTTGGGGTGGGCGGCCGAGCGGAAACGAAAGATATTCGTCTATTCGGTGGCGGAAGAAGGAGACCGTCGTTGTCGACATCGGCGACGACAGGATCCATCGAATTCCGCTGAATAACGATAGCGCGCGGGTGTAACGGGAAAAGGACCTTAACATAGCCGGTCGTTGGCGTGCTGGCCTCGTCCATACCGTCCTCTATTCAATTATCGGTCGTTCAGCACTCTCCGCTCGTGCGCGCTCGTACAACCCTCGTGCTACTTGGAAAACGCTCGAATCCTCTCCTCTCGCCTCGAACGAAAACGACGTCGTTATTTTTTCCAAGCTCTCCGAACCGTAAACAGTAAGCTCATTTTTCTATTCCAGATTTCGATCGGTTTTCCTAATAATTTGTTTTGCCAGCTTGAATTGCTCGAGATTGATAGAGTGATAATATCATTAAATTTTCTTTGAAATTCTTAGGAAACATTAGATCAATAGAAGAAATGCAAGTATTCATTTATTTTCCAAATATTTTCTTCTCCATTTCAAAGAAAACTTTCCATTTCAATTTTTCCGTGATACAGATTTATAAAAAAAAAAAAAAAAAGTAATTTAAGAATCTATTTTACCTATGTTCAATCAAATATTAATTCAAAATACAAAGGATGTTTGCTGTAGTTATCTCGCGCACGTCACAAGTTAACCCAAAGTCCCATCACTTAAGAGTAATGAATAAATTATTCAAACATGCATTCGATCCTTTCCAGGCCAAGTATTTCGCCATCTCCTCCCCGTGAAACGTTCCCGCCCTCAAGAAATTCCTCTTTGCACAAAGTTCCCTCCTTCTCCTCCCCCTCCTCCCTGCAACAATTGCGACAATTGAATTTCTTCGAGCTCGAATTACATCACGCTCGTCACATCGAAGAACAATCCTTTCAGAACCAGTCCTTTCCACAACCATTCCACAAATTCTGTCGCGCCAATACGAAAAAATCCTACGATGTTTCCCGCGACGAGACCATCCCCGAGAATCCTCCCCTGTCTACGTGGGGGTGGCTCCTCCAGTGGCCAGCATCGCCCTCCATATACAACAGCGAGCCGACGAGCGCAATAAAACGAGGGAGGAAGGGTGTTAAACTTTATTGCGGAAGGGGGGAGGGACTCGTTGTTGTGTCGCGTCTCTCTGTAACAGGCGAAAAAGACTGTTATAACTTTATCACAACGCGGTGCGAACGAATCCTTTTTTTCGCGGACAGCTTTTTCGAGAGAGACGCTCGATTTATTCGTGAGACGCGTGTGGAAAGAAAAATTGTCGCCTCGATGATAAACGTAAGAATCTCGTGAGAGGATCGTTTTAATGTCGATACGCGTCTAATTGGGGAACGTTGATTGAATATAATGAGGTGTAGCAAGCGTCGTTGGCTAATAATCGAGAGGAGGCTGCGCATTAGCGTGTCGGATGCGAGTAATTGAATCGGTAAGTGCTTTCACTTAGTCATTGTTATTGCCGGCAAAATTGGAAACTTGTGTAATCGTTGTTGTTCGAAACTGATGATGGGCTTTTTTCCCCTCTCTCCTGTGCGTAGTCTTTTTTTTTTTTTTTTTATTGGGAATAATAGGCGATATCGATCGATCCGTTGAGAGATACGTGATTTCGCTGCAAAAAATGGGATTTAAAATCTCGTGAAAAATTATTTTAACAATGAAAATTGTTGTGCATATACATTGTTATAGGTATACCGATAATTTAATCTTGCTGAGGATTTTTTTTTTATAAACTTATCAAGTTTGTAAAAAGTTGAATCTTTCTTTTGAATTTTAGCGCCAAAATATACAATTATATATTTAATTTTTATTAGAAATCAAATGATCAAATTTGACGGTGAAATCAAGTTAATCAGGTCACGTATTTAAATCTTAAATATATTTTATATTGGATATTAATTGTTTTGTAGAGTAATAATTGGTCAAAGGTATGTGTTATAGAAATTTACAATATGTAATTTAAATATCTTCGAGCTCTCTTCCAGTTCCACTCCATTATTATTTTATCGTAATAAAAAGTATTTTTGATTTTTGCAAATTAAAATAAAAAGAAAAAGAAAGTACGCTCTTCCTATTGAATTCGATCTCATTGAATTAAAAATTATACAATAGGATGTTATTTTCTCTGCTTTAGCTTTTGTCTCATCTGATAAAACGTATGTTTGTAATTTTTTTTTTTTCCTTTTTACGTCCGAATGAAGCAGTATTATTGCAGTAACGTTGTTACATGAATAGAGATTGGAAATGGAACGCGAATAAAGGAGAGAAATATTGTGAGAAAAGTAATTCTGATATAAAAACGTTTCTTGTAATATTGTATCCTTTGAAAGTTTTATAACACCAAAAGCCAATGATATTCGTTCCAGGGAATATGTTAAAAAATAATTCTGTCCGATCGATGTTATAAATTGTAGAATCATAAATTGTAAAATCGTTGCATAATAATGGAAATCGAT